CACATAAAAAAAGTTTATCGACTTGTCGTAACACAAACTGTGAACAAAAACTCAATTATTATCCTGAACTGGAAGCTATTATCTGGTCGAGCTCGAAAATAGCGATAAACTATTTCAAATTGGGACACATGCATCGAGTGGCCGGAGTGGCCACTAATATAATGGAAAGCTTGACTCATAACTGCAACTGTTTGTATCTGTGTGTGTATTCTCAAGTGCGTGCGTGTGTGTGTGTGTGCCGTGCACGCCACTAAATTATGCATTCGAAAATGTTTGTTTGAGGCAACCGATGCCGACCAGGAGATCCGTAAAATCTAAGCCGACTAGCCCAAGCGCATACATGCAGATCATTAAAATCGACAAACTAATTTGCTTATATAATCAAACAAATATTCTGCATGAAATAAAATAAAATGGTTATGATGCGAATAGAATGTTAATTGTTTGTATGGAGATATCGGCATGCCATGGCAAATGGGTTGATTCTCGTTTGGGTCTGTATCATCGTCGTCGTTGCTGTTGTTGCTGTTGCTGCTATTGTCGTTGTCGTTGCAGCCGAGAGTGGATATTCGGCCAAACAAACGTGTAATTCAAAATTGTAGCATTAATTCGATTTCAGTGGGGTAAATGCATTTGCAACACAAATGTGAAAATCCCATGGTGAGGCGAACACGAGCCAAATGGATGCGAATAAGACACAGAGAGAAAGAGAGAGAGAGCGAGAAAGTTGGGTCGAATGTGAATCTAATTCTCAGTTTTTTTTTTGCACTACTGTTGTTGTTTTTTTTAGCTCTGCCCTGCATTTTGCTTACTGTTTTTGTAGTTGGTTTTGTTGCTTTTTTCAACTGTAAATAGAAAATTGCATCATGGTGCATTGGTGAGTGGTGCAGTACGGTAGTTGCATCGCCGTCGTTGTCGTCGTCATTATGTCGCTATCCCTGGCTCTTGTCATTGTGTGTGCGTCGCCAATTCAGAACAAACAGTTTACGTATCTGTAACGTTAATCGCAAACACATGAACCCGATTACACTCGAGCCGAACAGACATGAAGAGAAATATAAACAAAAGGTAGCAAATTAGACAAACAGAGCGTATTTTGTTCTACATTCCCGTTGAATATAACGAAAAGGACACACGGACAGAGATACACACACTCGCACACATACAAATTACCACTATGGTTTGGATTTCGGAATAAAAGGGACAAATAATCTCCAATTCTCGCACTCTTCCTCACTTTCTATCGTTCTCTCCGTCTCTTTATGTCTGTTTGTGTCTGTTGGCGCGGCATTCTCTGCACTTTGAATGTCCGATGCACGCGCGCATATCAACAACAATGAAAAACTAAAGCCATTTACGATTTTCGCCCATTGTACAAGTAGCGATCTAAATATTTTGAATTGGGTATTATACTTGTTCAACTAAATAAAATGTAATTGCAAGTTATCTAATGCAATTATTTCATTTTCGGTTTTTCACCAGCACTGTGAGTGCATTCAGTCACTTGTGAATTTATGAGTTGCAATGCAAGTTTGTATGCACTTCACAAGTGAAAGTGCGCTCAGTTCGAAAATGTGCAGTGTACACACTGATAGAGATTACCCGTTCTGTTTGAGCTATGTGTTCGGTGACTATTGCACAAATTTCCATTAAACTTTAGCGTTTTTCATTGGGATTCATTGGCCAATTTTGAATTACAATGTCAAATATACCTGCAAGTGCTTTCGTTACAAACTTTTCGAGTGTAAATAAAAGTGCATACTGAGCCACCGGAGAGAGGAAACTGATTAAAAACGGATTGGATGGGAAAGCTGGTGAAATCGATCGATTTCACTTCAACAAATATGAAAATGTAAATGCAATCTGCCATCGAATTGCAATGGCAAAAAAAAAGTTCATTCTGTTCTCTATCACTCACACTTTTTTTTCCTCTGTCTCTGTCTCTCTCTCTCTCTCTCTCTCTCTCTCTCTCTCTGTCTCTCTCTCTCTCTCTCTCTCTCTCTCTCTCTCTCTCTCTCTCTCT